GGAAAGGGTCCAATTTACACAATTTAAAACTACAAAATATCTAGCTTACCTTATCCAAAACATTGTTCACTAATGCTGATTAGTTTGCACACATGTGTATAATTTTACCTGTTGTTAACAAACTTTAAATAAGCATAAATTCTTCGTTACGAATCCGTTTCGAGTCTAACTTGTGCTCACGCATTCGTAATAACGAGTACAAATTAATTACGATAATACAAAAAATAAATTAAACGTCGAACAACAACATCCATGTCGGATTCCATTTTGCCAAAAAGGGCGTAATCGTCATTTTACACCCTTGGGAAGGAAATTACATGGAAAATTAGGGACGGGTCATCACATGCTGGGTTTAGCATACATTCAATGCAAGAATCTAGTTTGGTCATAACTAAGAAGGTTTGCTTGCTAGGTAAAGAGGCAAACTAGGCTAATTCTCTCTCAAACTTACCCATGTGGAATACAAAGACCATGGGCTTGGACTTTTGGGCTCCCAAGCAACCCAAAATCTTCCACAATCTTGACTCCACGTAGGCCTAATGAACTTCCGTAACCATCCACACCACAATTCACTTGACAAGCCTCGGTCATGTGACTTAGGCTTAGCGTGAATAATGAGTAGCATGATAAATAGGCATGGCATGATCCGGTCTAACTATTGTAGCATGACATGGTCGTAAATATATTTCTTCCTCGATCCCACACCCTTGCATGTATTTGGGCTTGAATAGAGATTTGCATGACAATTGGGCTTCGATCGATGCTTGGTTGGGCTTACGTGTGACATTTTTGGACCTCAACAACCGTGTTACATGCAAGTTATCTTTTCTTATTTTAGATGTCTAAATTATTGATTTAGTGAAGCAAGACGTTAATTTTTTTTGTCAAACAATTGGAATTTCATTAGTCTTAAAGTTGAATAGAAATGTTTACATTCTCTACTAGAATATTGAAAGAAAATTCAGGGAAAAGCAAACCCCATCTATGTTTGCTCCCATATCTACCCACAAATGAAGCCATCAAATGCACCGCCCTATTGCTTCACTGAGGCACATATGAGAACTCAATGGACTCCATTTTCATAGCTAGTTGTCATCAACTATAAAAGTTTGCAAATTGTACATCTTATATGACTTTTGAGTTTAAATCGTTACATATTAAGTTATTGAAAGTGGCCATTTACCACATTGGTAGAAAGGAGTTGTGCCTTTGCATTTCGGTGTGGGTTCAAACCCTGTTAGCTTCCTAATCTAACATCTAACCACTAATCTTATTGTCTTATCAAAAAAAAAAAAAAAAGTTATTGACATAATTTCTACTCATTTTTTTCTCCACACACCTCTATTTATATTTTCTTTCATTGATTCTTCATTATCTATTTAATTTAAATGTTTGAAATAAACTTTTAGTTACAATGCTACAACAAATTATATAAGACTATCTCCAAAGAAAATGTCAAACTATAAGAGTCAAATTTCAATTGATGACTAATGTGGCAATCTGAAGTCTTATGTCAAATTTTGTATTTCTCTAACCAAATTTTAATGTTATTTTATTATTTAAATAGAGCTTTAAATGCTTGTAATTATTTAAAAAAATGTTGAAACAAAATTTTTATTGTTTAAAATGTTAGTGGAATAAGGAACTCACCATAAATATAGTCAGCAAATAATATATTGGTTGGATAGACTTAAATAGAGCTTTAAATGCTTGTAATTATTAAAAAAATGGTGAAACAAAATTTTTATTGCTTAAAATGTTAGTGGAATAAGGAACCCACCATAACTATAGTCAGCAAAAATATAGCCAACAAATAAGGAGACAAAATTTTTATTGCTTAAAATTTGATTTCAAATCACAAGGCCTTCAAATATAATCATCAAATAACACTTCGGTTGGATAGACTTTTGATGTCAAATATAAACAATAGCATTCCACCTAAGATTTTGATATCTTCTTTGAAGATACTCGAAGAATTCACCATTCTTCTATGATATGAAATTTATCTATGCATGCATTATAATACCATAAATATGCGCACACACATGAGAAGTATAACATAAACATGTGTAATTTCTCAAATGTCTGATATTCAAGCGAGTACTCCATATTTTATAAAATAAGTGAAAGTGCAAATATCTCTCTAAAGACCCTGTCTAAAATCAGAGTCGTTTTTTCCACTTGTTGTAGAACTAAACTAGTGCCGGTTCCAACTGGTATGTGCTGTAACTTGTAACTTCCATGATAAAATTCCAAACGTCCCGTCATTCGAACAACTTGAAGTTTGAAAGCCACCCACTTCTACTAAACTATGGAATCCGATGTTTACAAGTTTTTATATCTTCTTCGATTGAAAATTTTAAGACGTTCTAGAGTATCTTTACATCTAAATTTTTTTTCATTATTAAATTCTTAATAAAAGATGGAACACTAAAAATCTAACCATTAAAATATTTAAACAGTTTACTCCGGTGCACCATAAATAAATAATCATGTTTATCAGTAGGTGCGCATGTTAGCAAATGGCAAAACAATTGACAACTGAAAGAGCCATTGGAATTTGGCAACTATCAAACTAATAAAGTCACTGTTATAAAGATTTCCGTCTAGGCGTTACACGCTTAAGTAGATGGTCACCGCATCAACTAATTTCTAGGCGTTCAAATATTAAGAAAGAGGGCCTAGACTTGTTTAGACGTCCGTCTAGCCCACTTAGGCGTCCACCTAACCTACCCAAGCACGACCTAGGTCGCGACTCACACTTATACAGAGACTTGTTGAATACTTGAATGAACAATCACTACATTCTTATTTCCCCATGTTCTCAACAGGGTCGGTCCTGAGATTTTGGGTACCCTGTGCGAAACTTTAATGGGGGCCCTTAAATTGTATATAATTTTCATTGCTATGTTTTATTTTACATTTTAATTTTTATGATTATGTATGAATTGAGATAAAATAAAATAAAAAATAAAACAAATTTAGGTGTGGTGGATCAGTGGTTAGGTACTTATTTGCATCCCTATTTTTTTTTAGTTCGAAACTCTTTATTTATAAATACAAAAAAAAAGAAAGAATAAAAACCCTTAAAGGGTCTAACATTATAGTTGTTATGTCTTCTTTTACATTTTTATTCATAAAAAATGATAATATAAAAGAAAAAAAAAATCTTGGTGTGGTAGCTAGGGGCCTATTTGCCTCCCTAAGTTTTTAGGTTCAAAACACCATGCTTTTAAATACCAAAAAATTTTTTAAATAAAACACTAAACAATGCTTTTAGATACCAAAATAATTAAAAACAAAACACACAAAAAATGCCATTGCTGGGAAGACTCGAACCCAATTCTTGGATTAGACATAATACGCTCAAGAGAATTGCACTGAGAGAACAATTTAGTATTTGGCTATACATTTAAATTTATATATGAAATATACAGGTTAAGTAAAATAATAAATCAAGGCCCTTCCGAATTTGGGGGCCTGTGTGGTGGCACCACTTGCACCCCCTCAAGGCTGGCACTGGTTCTCAATATGTTTTAATACTTTATAATCTATATGTCATTTTATTTTATAATTTATGTATCTCAATAAATTATGTATCTTTTTTAAGTATAAATATGCACTTATTTATACAATATATAATAGATTTACTTAAATCCGACTAGTCCATCTAGGCCCTGCCTAGCCGCCTAGGCGCTTGGCCCCAACTCGCCATTCGACCAGTGCTTAACGTTTTTTAGAACCTTGAATAAATGTGAAGGAGGAATAGGAAATAGCTAGGACATATTGTAACATGACATTCTCTAATCGCGCAGACGAATGAGTCCCTATTCTTTTTTTTTTTTTTCAACTCCGTTGAAGTAACAGCATAAAGATTGAGGCAGCTCATTTCATATGGTATCAGAATCGAGCCAGGAAATGATCTATGTGCAAGATAAAACAGGAGCATAAAGGACCATATAACCAAGAGGAAGACTAATTGTAATGGTTTTACTAGGCAAATGTTATTGTTTTCCAACACCAGCAAACTGAGAGTTATCTTAATAAGCATTTGTACCGTTCAAACATCCTCTTACTAAGCCGTAAATAATCTAGAGAATACAATGTTGAATTTTATAAATGTGACATCAATGATAAATCTAGACAGTGACATATACATGTGAAGACTGAGAAATTGGGAGAGGTGACTAAGCAATTGAAATCATATTGAATGCATAAAACAAAGACTTAGAAAATAGTCAGTCAATTGTTAGCTTTCTGTGATTTACACCAGCAGCTTGCTGGTGTTTCCACTGGAGCAATCTCAACATACTACGGTCCTTGCATTTGCAAATTATAACTGACCAAACCATAGTGAATTTCGAACTTGGTTTCCTTGCTTTTTTGCTATTAGATGTATTTCATCTAAAAGAAGAGACAGATCCTTGAGGAATGTGAACTGGTCATCTATTGTCTAACCTTTCGTCCCGGATAACATACGTTTTACTTGGTGGAATGGCGCAGTTGTGCCGATGGTTGAAGCTGCAATAGCCCTTGTGCTTCTGGACCAACTAATGGAAGATTATACAATGTCATACGTTTCCTGTCAATCCTGACCAACTAATGAAAAATTTTAAATCGTGCAAAGAAAATTCGTTGTCATGAAATGTATATGCCGAAGTATTTTTGAGCCAAGCCTGCCGCCCGACCAGCGCCTAGTGTCTTTTAGAACCTTGAATAAAGGTGAAGGAGGAATAGGAAATAACTAGGACATATTGTAATGACATTCTCTAATCGTGCGGACAAATGAGACCCTATTGTTTTTTTTTTTTTTCAACTCCATGGAAGTAAAAGCATAAAGATTGAGGCAACTCATTTCATATGGTATCAGAATCGAGCCAGAATCCGACGACCCGACCCGAAAATGTAGTATTCAGAGCTTGCTTGCCGAAAAAGCTAAGCATGAACAAGGGCCAGCCATCTAAAAGAAAATAATAGAAAGAGTGCATTGCAACATTAAATTGTCAAGGACCCAATTTTGTAATTATAATTATTATCCTTTTGGTACAAGACTCAATTCCAGCAGCTTACAATCTCTTTCCCAAAAAATAAAAACATAATTCAGTGCAAAAACTTCAAAAACAAGTAAGTGGTTATGAACCCATTGGGGCATTACATCGAACACCTGGCGGGCACCCTAATCGGAGCAGATTTTCTTCAACTTATCAGCCGCAGATTCGTCCACAGAGTACTGCAATCGCAGGAAATCCCAATTGGGTTCACAGAAACACACACAAAAATGTCCAAAACCAATAAATATTCCAAATTTTTGTTTTCAGTGATAGAAATTACGACGTTGTACCTTATTGAGGACCCAGAGGGAATGATTGTAGGCCCTGAGGAAGAGATCGTGGAGGGCTTGGTCGTCGTTGGCCTCGACCTCTCTGTAATTGACGAAGTTCTCGCGGGCGTACTTGGCGTAGTAAGGTTGAGAGTCCTTTGGCAACCTCCTCACCAATCTCAGAACCTCCCCGTAGATTTTCAATGCTTTCTCCATATCTCGACTCCCACCACCGTCGATCAGCGATCACAGCATCAGAACCTCCACGAACAAAAAGGGCTTTTACTTGTCTGGACAAACGGGCCTCTGTTTATTGCGCAACAGATATATTGGAGTTGGTATGGGCCGTACCAAGCAGTTATTTCGAATGGGGCACTATATGCACCCAACCCAACGACCACGCACAAGAGACGGTGGAAGTACAACTTACATGACAGCTATTGAATGTTAGCTTTTTTCGAAAAATAATTGTATATAATTTTGTGTCTGTAACACCCATTACGTATTTACTTATGCTTTCTGTGGTATAATGTACATCTGGTATTTAGATGATTCTTTAGGCAATTTTATCTATTTCTTCTATGATTCTCAGTCTAGGTCAATTATAGGTGGGTACTTGAAATCGAAAATCGAAATCGAAACATGAACTAAATCGAACCGCATCGAACAGTTTGGTTTTGCAATTTTGAAACGGTTTCGGTTTGAAAATAAGTCAATTTAGTATGTGACACTTTCTTCAGTTTAACCAAGTCCATAGCAAATCTGCAATTCAATGTTCATAAAATTATTCTTTCATTTTGTTTGCAAATGGTTTGAAATTGAACCAAAACGGTTTGAAACCGAATCGAACCAAACTAAATGGTTTGATTTCATTTCGGTTTTAGCTTCAAAACCTCACTGAATCAAACCGTAAAAACTTTCGATTTCGGTTTCACTCAAAGTAGCATCGACTTAGACCGTGCCCACCTCTAAGATCAATCACTAAAGGAATCCTTGTGCTGAGCTAGGGTCAAACAAAATAATCTCCCTTTCCTGTCCTGGAAGTTAATCTTCATCTGCCAAAGTGTATGGCAGATACTACCTTTCTTGAACTTCGATTATCTCATCTTATATCGAGCCTTCACATGTCGTGTGCATTAGGCACAAGGTTAATGGCATGGCGTCAACCAATTTATAAATATCCTTTCCTAAGGCCAATGAAACTCCATGTAAAGTGGAGTTGGATAGGTAGCCAGTACATAGTCACAAAATAGTCAATACAAAAGCACTATCTATTCTCGCAACTTCTTACGAAGGATCTCACTTATAAAGCATGAGCGGGATAAGGTAGCTATTTGTGACTCTTTTTTTAATACAAAGACTGGAAGAAGGAAATTTAAACATAGAACTTTGAACTCAGAAATGCAACGCTACTTGAACAATAAGTCCCTTCTTCTATATATGTTAGACTATAGATTGTTCTATAATCTCTCTTCATCTATGAGTTGGTATAATTCTAGTAAATAGAATAGAAATACAATGCTTTGGTATATATTGTGAAAGGCCGCGTGTATGTGAAATTTTGGCTTCACAACTGTTGAACACTATGCTACCAAATGTGTAGGGGACCTTGCATGGGCTTATAAGAGGTTGAGCTACTCCTGATATTGCCAATTGGTTTTATGGTGGAACCTTAACTCTCTTCATGGTATCAGAGCCACGTTGTCCTATGCGTGAAGCCAAACGGCCACAAGCGCTCCATATCACCCCGTTGTATTGTCCATGTGTTAGGCTTGAAAATTCGCCAAATGTGAGGGGATTTGTTGAGAATGACTCTCACATTGATGAGATGAGGGACCTTGCATGAGCTTATATGAGGTTGGGCTACTTCCCATATTGCCATTTGGTTTTATAGTGGAACCTCAACTTTTTTCATGGTAGCAGGTTGTTCCACATGTGAAGTCAAATGCTCACACGCGCTTCACGTCATCCTGTTGTGTTATGTACATGTTAGGCTTGTAAATTCGCCACACGTGAGAGGGGTTGTTGAGAATGAATCTCACAATGATGAGAGGAGAAACATTGTATGGGCTTATAAGAAGTTAAATTACGTATGATGGAACCTCAACTTTCTTCGGGGAAGAATCAATTTCGGTAAACCATCAACCACGAAGATGAAAGTGATTCCAGCCGTGAAGCAAAAGAGGCCAAATGATATATACTTGCACACATCTTAATTTTAAGAGAGGAAACAAAACAAATTCCACAAGAAGGCCTCCATCCCACAACTCGTAAGGTACATATTTTTTTTCTATAAATTTTTTCGATAGATATATAATAACTGGTTCAGATGCACCCAAATAGACACCAATCTTTTTCACAATTTAACTTATGTTTTAGCTTGTCTTTAGTGATTCACAATGAGACATCAAATTTGTCCTTCCCACTGACCACGTGTAAGCTGCGACACCCCAAAAACTACACTAAGATTCCACGTCCCCACGTCCTCAGTTGTTTCTTAGCATGCAAACAATTCAAAACAAAGAACAATAGAAGCAAGGAAAACGAAGTTGATCCGAAACATTTAATGCATCCAATCCGAAAAACCCTAAAAATCAAAATCAAACGCAAATAACCACTCGATCTAACGTGAAGTCCAGAGGCCTCCTCCTCACACTTGGTTCCTGTTTGCTTCCATGGTGGCAGCTCCACCATCACTCGTTCCCTCTTTAAAACCAAACCCACCACCGCATCCACCTCTCCACACTCTCTCCTCCCCCCAAAACCCAAAACCCTAACCATAAACAACAACAACATGCTTGACATATGGTCATGGATATGCGACCTTCCCAACTCATCCGAGTGGGCCGAGTCTGACTCGTCCCACATTCTCGAGCTCGCTAGCTCCGGACCCAATCACGACAGCAACCCAACTCGTGCGATTCAACTCCGGGCCGAGCGGACCGCCGGCTCCAACATCGACACTTTAGTGACCTTCTCCGTGTGCTTGCATGGCTTCAACCAATATCCCAAAAGGACTATCTGGGTTTCTGACATGTGTTCACTCTCCTCGGACAAACCCTACCTCCCTCTCTTACTGCAACTTCTCCAAGAAATCATATCCCGGTCGCCCACCGCGCACGGTAGCGGCACCTGCCCGCGCTCCCAGCTCCAGGCCCTCAAACCCGACCCGTTTTCTTGGATCATGGACTCCCACTCCCCCGAGTCCTTCTCCACGTTCTTCGACCTGGTTTTCATCACGCGCCTCTTCTGGCTCTGCGCGTGCGACTCGCCATCCGAAGTCGGCTCTCTGTACTTCAAGTCGCTGCTAGCTCCTAACCTCGAGGCGTTGTTGTGCAAGCACGCGCCGGCCCTGCGGACGTTTCTGATCACCGCGGGTGTGGATGCGGAGCTGTGCTTCATGCGCACCCTCGGGTACATGTTAGCCAAATGGTGCATTTTGAGAGATGTGGGCGTAGGTCTACAGATGCTGACGTCATCTCCCTCTCAGAACTTGGGTTTCTCTTACGCGACGGAGGCCTGCGGGCTTTGGGTGCTAAAGGGTTACGCGCCGGTAATGGGGATGAAAACCACGCGCTCAGCCGCCAGCGCGAATCAGAAAAATCAGTTTCCGGCATTGGAAACCAGAGACTCGGTGCTAAAGTACACCCTGGCGCACCAGCAGCTGGAGGCGGTCGTTCAGGTGGAATATTCTGTTGGATTTTACGATGGGTTTATTCAGGTGACGGCACGTGTCGACAATCTCCGCTTTCACGTGGTGAATCTCGGATTTAACAAAGACGACGACGTGGACTACGCGGAGGAGAAGTATTTCCCATCGAGGATTCGGGTCTGGGTGGGGCCGGAAGTCGGGGCGAACTACGTGAACGGGTTGAGCCTGGGCCGGTCCACGTACAACGGGGAGAAGGAAGTGAAAACGCAGAGAGTGATGAAGGGCGGTTTCGAAAAATCGAAGGTTCCAAAAATGAAGGCCACGGCGAGGATGTCGACGAGGATGAGGAAGAGGAACTGGAGGTGGGACCAGGACGCGGAGGGAAACGCGGCTGTTTTCGACGCCGTGCTGTGTGACAACACGACGGGGCATGAAGTGGCCACGTGGAAGCCGGATACTGATGGCGGGAACGGCGAGGGTTTGAGAAGGCGATACGAGGGGGCGAACAGGCCATTTACCAAAACGGGGAGTTTGGTGCTGAGCGGGGACGAGTACGGCGACGGAGTTGGGTGGAGGTTGAGCAGGGAGATGGAAGGGAGTGTGTTGAAGTGGAGAATTGGCGGGAAAGTGTGGTTGAGTTACTGGGCGAACGAGGTGAAGAGTTCGTATTTTGAGACGAGGTGTGTGGAGTGGTGTGATGAGGTTGATTTGCCTTTGATTCTTGGTAAATTAAGTGTGTAATTAATTATGATGGAGATTACAAAAATATTATTTTTATTATCTAGTTGTACCATCATTTGCACCATATCTCTAATAGTGATGGGATCCACATGCGTTGACGGATCATATCTCTATTAACGATATTGTAAAAATAATGGTACAATTAAATAGTAAATGTAACGTTACTCTAGATATTGTAGTTTTTTATTTTTGGCAACATTTATAGTAGTTACACAAGTTATGTGTTGTAAATATGACATTTTTAGTAGTCACGAATAAATTAGTTCTATAAAGAAACTAAGTAGTCCTTCTATTGCGTTGGATTTGGGATTGTTATGGGCAAATTACAGTAATAACAAGCACATATATACATAACCAGAATTGTTGGGATTCCTAAACACATGAGAAAAATGTTAACAAATTCCAATAAAAGTTGGAAATTTACACAATCAGCCCTTTATATCTCATCAACCACACTTCTACCTCTTGTTACGTACACATACTAAACGCGTAAAGAGTTGGGTTTAAAGTTAGAATAAAAATAAAAAATAAAAAAAATTTAGACCCACAAATTGAAGATAGTCGCAAAACCCCATACAATGGATGCAAACTAAAACAATTCATGTAATTTTTTTTTATTTTAATTAAAATGTGTGATTTTAGTTAAAATTTGTGATTTTCTCCAACTGTGTGTGTGTATATATCCTCATGTTGAAATCAGAAAAGAATGACATTAAAAAAGCATTGATGAATTCTAAGTTGGCATCACGAGCCTAGCCTAGGTTAGAAATCAGAAGGAAAAGAAAAACTTGTCTGCAATCCCAACTGCAATCGACCAAAGGAGAAGCCGTCGTTCAGCCTGCTTCCACCAAACAACCCACGTCGTTGCTCTCTGTCGCACCTCCCGAAGAAGAAGCTTTAGTTCATTGATCAGCTTCCACTGAAACTGAAGAGAAACCCTAGAACTGAGTGCAGGTACCGGACTGCCGAGTTAAATTCATGCCCCGTCTTTCCAGCCGTCGCAGCTCCCGAAGTCCAAGAACTCTAATCGAACTCCTCCCAAAAATTTGTCACCATGGCTGACAAGAAGAATCGCCGAAATGAAACCCGGTGTTGTTCCACTGGCAACTCAAAACCGTGATGACCGAACATGTGATCATTAATGTGGCCGAACTGACCACTACAAATCTCGTTACTATGAGATTGCGAGCTATCTGGAATAGTGGGATCATAGCAGGGATCCCATAAAGCGAAATTCAGGTCTCCAACCAACTAAAGTTGCTGGTGTTGTTAAGGAATCCCCGAATAATGTCGATCAAGCCTCTGTTTTAGCAACCACAACAGGTGATATTGGTAAAGCATCTCCAAACTTTGCACTTATTTTGAATAGTACATGGATAATTGATTCTAGTGCTACCGATCATATGACTTTCGAATAGTAAATGAATAATTGCATTCGAGTTTCCTACAGTTCATGAGGCTCAATCTCGTCCGCCACCCACAAAAATGGCTAGAGATGGTTCTATCATGTAATGAGTAAGCTGGAGATCTCACAGTGTATTTTTTTAGGAATCCGTTTCCAGGTCATATAATGTCTGATGACGCTCTTGTATAGAATCACCAAATTAATTGTAAACTAAATATTATTCTCTGTAACATTGCAGGCGCAAGACTTTGAGGACCCAGAAGTGCAACACATCGACATGTATCACACATGTTTGGCTTGTATCCGGGACACACAATAACTGTTGAGAAAACTTAAGCAATTTGTCTTTCTCTTCACAATTTAATGTGGTTTATTTCTTGACATAAGTAAAGTCTTTAACATTTAAGGCAATGAAAGAACTTAAGTTGAGCCGCTCTCACTCAATGACACAATCTTTTGGTTAGAAGTTAATTCAAGCGTAATCTGTATCACTCAAATCCCGTCTATTAGCAGTAACTAGTAGTGGCACGCTCGCAAATCTCCAAATTCTTGTTCAAATAAATTCCCAAACTTCCCTCAAGGCCCATGATGAATTTAGGGGGTGAACAGGTGTTACAAACTGATGTCTCCTACCCGGAAGATCACCCTACCCAAGAGTTCATCCAACGATGACTAGTTACATAAGACTCTTGTTTACGACATGGTTCTAGCATATATACAACAATAAATGAAACTTGACATGATTTTCTGAAGTTAGTGCCATAATCTGCTTGACGACTAGTAAGTAAGTACTGTCATTTCATTTATATGTTTCTTTACTTTATACCAGGAAAGGAAGGTCCAGGATGGTCGACTACATGGAAGATTGCGTTGTGGTCTTCACAACATTGATATGGCATGGTCACTGCACATTCCCTTTCCAGATTGACACCAACTTAGGGTAAGCCGTGTAAGTTAAGTTGTTGAAACAGAAGCGCCAATAGACCAAAACACTTTCATGAGTAACAAAGGTTTGTAGCTTAATGGACAGCGACAGTACGTGCCAGTTTTTCAGCAGCAGTTGCAGAAATGTTTGAGGGCACCATATCTCTGAGAGCTGAATGTCATCGTCGAGTTTTAAGGTTAAATTCATCCTATTGATTTTTTTTTTCCAATCAACATATCATTGATGACATTGAGTAATGATCATGTGACTGATCTACAGCCCACAGAAAGAAAAGAAAAACACCAAACCCTGCAGTTGTAGCAAACTTTTTCTACTTTTTCCAGTAGGACATTCAATTGCCGGTATTGGCTGGAAAACCAGCCAGACTGAACGGAAACTAGTTGTAGGGTAGAGCCTAACCATATTTCATTAATATTTGCTACTGTAAGTTCTATATAGAGCAAACACTTGTTTATCGTGTAAAAATGCTCTGGAATAATAAGGAGCTATGGGGAATGGCGTATAAGAAATTGTTTAATAACGATAATAGCCTCAAACAATCTCGATAGAACTAGGACTTCATTATCTGATATGTTTATTAGAGTTTTCACGATGATAAGATAGTTTGATAAGGATTACATAATGCGAAGTGTCCTTATTGAACTCCATCGTTATAGTATAAAGCTAGGGTCCCTACACTCTCACAAAACACACAAGCTTTCAGATACTCAAGCCCCATTGATTGAGCCTTGTTTCAAGTTTAGAGTTGCAGAAGAACCCTTTAACTCTAGCGAATGGTTAAGTTGGTATCATGATTTAGTTTTTCATAAGTTGTATACTTACAATCCCTTGGCCATGTACATATCAATATGTAAGAGTTCCTAAATAAAAATTTATGTGAATGTGATATATATTTGATTAATTGGTATCCCTAAATTTTCGATTTGGTTATGAACTCTCAATCTTTTTAAATGTGCAAATATGCCTTTGAACGTTGAACATATGTATCTATCAAATTGAGGTATTTCCGTTCATGCAAGTGCACAAAACTAAAATAAATCATTGATTAATTTGATAATTGGATTAAATTGACACATTATAAACGATTATGAGACCCGTAAGTCGTAACTAAATTGGAAGTTAAGGGTCAAATTAAGAACTTCGTAAATTGAAGGGCATTGCTAAATTTGCTCTTTAAAAATATCTAACAGTACCCGATGAATCGCTAAGAATCCAACGGTAAAAGACTGTCGTACAACTGCGCCACGCCATCCCTCACAAAACAAAACCCTCACAAAGCCCTCTTTCGCCACTATCGGCAAACAGTAACTCGGAAAATGGCTTGGCGCTCAGCTGGTTCGCTGTCTCGGTCATTGGTGTCCAACGCAAGGGTTTCGTCCCTCCGCTCGGCGCCCCCTCTCCGTCGCCTCCGCCCGCCGTCGCTCTCCACTCCTCGTCGCCTCTTCGCTTCTCCCAGGTTCCCCTTTCAATTTCTCCTCTTTATTTTTTCTACTTTTCTCGTTCACCTTTTTGTTGATTTCTGATTGATTTCTGGAAATTGGAGAAAAATGAATGCGAATAAATGAATTGTTATTTTCCTATGGTTTCTGTTGATTTATTGATTTGTAATTCACAAATTTACTGACATAATTGTACTGGATTTATTTAGGTTGGTGATTTGGGGTTTTTAATCTACAGTATGGGAAAAACAAGCGCATTTTTGGCTCACAATTAGTAAAAGAAATGAAATTTAAATGCAAAATCTTGTCTTTCTTTTAATTTCCACTGTTTGGAGTTGATAGGAAGAGAAAATCTTATCTATCGGTTCTTCTTTTTTAGCAGTCACCTGGATCATAATTTCTGTGGTTACATTTACCTTCTCCGATCTCAAGAAGTGGGTTCTTAGGTTCCCAAAAAGAAAATAGCGGTTTCTTACATTTTTTTCGGAGCAAAAATGTGTCTTAATTCCTTTCATACTTATTTGTGGTATAGGTATAACAGAAAAATCTTCTCATTTTACTGGCTTTCTTTTGTTTCTTTTAGGAACTTGGGTGAACTGGGATGCATACAATCGCTTTTGCCGATGCACTGCATGACGGCTGCAACCTGCCTCACATCTCACCTGGCTGCCAACGTGCGGGGTTGTTGCGAGTTGTCACACGGTACCTTCTGCCGCACTTGTCAGGATCGCTAGTAGTCCCTTTGTGAGTCTTGCTGTTTCTAGGACACATGACGAAAATGAAAGAAACATCATTTTTTTTTTTTCCATTTTGTTTTGAATCCTTCGGCTTATTCCCCAGGAGTTCCTTAGAGTAGAATAAATGTTTTTGCCTCATTTACCTCTAGACAGAGTGCCGTTGAATGATAGAATGATTCATAAACTAGGTAGGATTTGTAAGTATGTTAAGATTGATTAATAAGAACAAATTGGGGTTGGGATTGATGGGGAGGAATGGAAAAGCTGGGTGACACGCAAGGACGTCCAATCATCCAAAGGCAGAAGAATGATCAATTGGTGTAGGTCTTCTTTCAATCCCTTTTTTGGACATCATAGATATTGAACTTTTCAATTGTGAATTTGAGTAAAAAGAGGGCCGTTTGGTCAAAATAATGCACTTCAGTAACAGGTTTTAATATTTCTTCTCCTTTTTCAGGCCATTCTAAACAAGCTTTGATCAATTTTTTCCATATTAAGTAGGAAACAGAGTTGTTAGTTTAGCAAGCTTTCCTGTGCATAATTTGATTGCTAGTATGAAGAGAGGAGTGGGAATGACTCATTGATTGGACCTATGTATTTGTTTTTTCTTCTCTTGTTTATCAGTTGGAATACCAGCTTTTACTTATTTAATTTTGGTGCTTCATGTTTTATATTTCTGATGCTTTCTTAGAGAATACATACTTATTGTGACCGTTGGATTTTATAGTGACCATTGGATTTTATAGCTGGCACCTTGAACCTTGGTTGCTGGTTTTACTTGTTTATTTATTAACAAATATTTGACTATCATTGGTGTATGATTTCTTCTGTCGCTCTCACAAATTCAATAATAGAGCAGGAATGTTTTTCGTTGAACTAAAGGAAATGGCAGTGTTTGATATAAGCTTCTATGGTTTCATCTTCAATCTGTTAGATGCAACTTTTTAATCTTATACTTTATGTTAAACATAAATGCTTTGCTGCACTCAACTTATGTTATGGTGCACAAATGATTTTGACTTTTGTTATCTGTTTGATTGTTAAACTTTTAATTTGGAAGAATATCATCCTCACATGGTGAACGTACAATGGATGGATATAATTTTTTTTAAGAACGTTATTTGTTTTTAAATTTTAGCATGAAGTTGGGGAGTAACCAAATAAGTGTTTGCGTATGTTTGAATTCTTACACAGTTGTGCGCCTCTGCTATTCCATTGCAGGGACTTGAAGGGACTTTTGGATCAGCATAGTTGAGTGCAACTCAACATCGTGGGTGATCGTAGAGTTTGGATGTATCCCGAAGGAACAAGTGCTTTTGGATTAGGAAAACTTATTAGGAGCACGTCTTTTTGAAAATTTCTTCATAATAAGAAACATGGTAGTTCATCTGATTTCTGGATGACGGTTCCTAGGTGTCCGGACTTCATTACTTGTACGTGGTAAATTTCTTTGTCTCGTAAGCTGTGACTAAATGTTTCAACATTAATATGTTGATTATCAACCTATATTAGTCTCTGCTCTTTTGAATAATAATGTTAGTTCTGGTAAATTGCAGCATTTGTTATTACTTATTCGATGGTAAATTTTTTGATGATACCACACGGTAAAGTTTGTGCATAAACATGTTTCAGAGTGGAACATTTTCTGACTATTCATTGCTCTTCCAATCTAAATTGTTTGTTAGATTGAAGATTTTTATGTCATTTTAAAAGATCTTACATAGCTCTTACATATCTGTGACTCGTGATTCTGCTTGCATACTGAAATTATGCCCGGTGGTGAATGTCATAGACTAGAAAGCACATGGGATGCATAAGTTGTGAGGGAAGAGCACAAGTGGTGCTGTTAGTTTGTGCAAGCATATGGCCCCATTGCATCGACCTGTTTGTGGGAGCTGGAGAAGCAGATTCATGAAACATGTGCTGAAGTTGGTCTTATATTTGGTTTTAGTGGTCAATGTGTAGGCAGGCCTACTGCCAAATTTGATTATCTTGTGTCTGAGCACTACCCGAAACAGTCCATTTTTCGCGCACCCTACTCCCACCTGGTTTGGTCCAACTGCTTTACGGGTCAAGATGTTCAAAGCATTGATTAGTGTCTTAAGACTCATTTGAGAATGCTTCTGTAGCACTTCTGCTCTTGAGCGCTTTTGTTAGAATCTATTTGGGACTGCTTTTATAATCTAGAGGCGCTTTTACGCTATCTGAAATCAACTCTAAAGGCGGTGCCAAACGAGCCCTTGACGCAAGACTTAAAAAGTTTCACGTGTATTTACCAAAAGAAAATAGGTCTTACATACGAACTCTAGCAGCCATAATTAAGGTCAAGTTTGTCTTCTGCTTATAGCTTTCCTGTCCTTATTACGCTAACCTTGGGTTGAAGAAAAACATGCTCACTACTTGTTTAGTCGTACAATAACGCAAAAATCATTTTCTCATTTTGATTCGGGAGGGAGGGAGGGAGGGAGGAAGGTGAGGTCGAACTTTTGTGTATCATAAACTAAAACGCTATTGCTGATGATTGAGTAATGACATTTGCACAAATGACAGAGAAACGCCGAGGCACAACAAAACAAAACAATCACTTTTTTCTAGCTCTAGCCACGACTTAATGAAGTTTATAACTTGTTTAACCGACTTCGTTGGTGTGCTCACACTCCTCTTTACCCGATCAACTAATCTAACTCACGTTTAATTACGCTAGTGCATGATCAACTAATGGAAAACATCATCTTTGTTATTCTTATTTGCCAAATGTTGAAAAAACAAAAAAGTTGAAAGCCGAGAGTCAATGTCAGCAGAGCATGCAATTCTGTTAGCATTTGGGGCCACACGAAAGTTGCAACTTGCAGCTCTTTGAGACATATCTGAATTACCATTTGAAGAGAATCCAAGCTGGATATAATTATAAAGTACAATTTAACACCAAGAAGTTCTTCCCATTCCCACTTTCTCCATGTTAGTGTGGTCCACTGTTCACAAGGAGCTATTCACCTGGCCCGCCAGCTTTTGCACCAACTACATTTTGTATAGCTGCAATTAACTCCAAAGACATCGAGACTATGTTTGAGTGAGAGATCTCAAAGTATTGAGGGATTGATGCCAAGTTAGGGTGGAATGAACTACAAAATGTTAGATAGCAGGGATTAGAAATGAACTTCGCAAGCACATTGCAAATACGTGTGCAAAGAATTTGTAAATGACTTCTTTCAAGTAGTGTGTTCGGGCTGGATTTTTGGATCTAGTCCCTCACACAACTTCCCGGGGCTTTAGCTCTTTCTTGCATGTCGGGCAAGATCTTGTTGCTTGGTGCGCTGCTACGAGTTTATTGTTAGTTTGAAAGGTGCCTTTGTGGGGCCTTTGGTTTAGGCTTTGAGGCTCATAATCAAAACTAACAAGGATCTGAGCGTGCCACTGTTGTCTTTTTATAACAGGTTGTTGAATATGTGTGAATTAGGTTGGTTACTTGCGCCATAAGTGATTTAGACTTCTCGCTTATCAAAAGATTGTTACAAATGGGTTAAGTCTATATAAGGTTCTTTTCTTGCCTTGTGAACAAGGACTTTTAATTCATAACATTGGTATGTCCAAAATGAAGGGGGTTCAGGGCCCCTTCAACCATTTCCTTGATCAAAGTTCGTTTTAACGCAAAACAGGTTCATTAGCTTATCTAGATTTGACTTCAAATGAAACTTTTAAGTGCAAAACAGTTGAAAATGATTTTAAAAATGAAGGAAAATGCATTAAACGACAAATCTACTATATGTACGTACAAACAAAAGAGAGTCGAGTAAGATTTAACCTTATCAGAAGATTCAACTTCTTGCAGACACTTCTCTTTGTGTTTACAAGGGTTTTTCTACTCTGGAGGATGAAAAGTAAAATGATTTCACCAGAGGGAATTGATACTACAACACCAAGGAAAGGTAGCAGAGCTTCTAATCTCGACAAAAGATGACTTTCTATGGGGGAAATATAGCTAAAAAGGACCATATCTGGATAAAATTTAGCTTTTTGGGTATGAACTTTTTTGAGAGCAAAGGTTGTATGTCCTTTGATTGGTTGGTTGAGTGTCATTGTCTTTGATGTCCCTCTTTGCTTTTATAGACAATTTGGCCTGACTGTCCAAGCTTTGCCTTTAGCTGATATATTTCGGTGGGCAGTGAGTCATCACCTATTTACCCATCCATGCCCATGAAAAGTGCTTTTTGGCAGATGGTGAGGTTCTCTGTTGCCCATCAACTCAGTCATAGATATGTGCCCTATGCCTTTGCTAAAATAGCTTCCAATTCCTCTCGGGCCTATCGACTTGTCCGAGCCCAATCTTCTATTTGCTTTTGCATCTTTGGGCCTCTATTACCACAAAGCCCATTGTCAAATATAAACCCAAACATAATGGTTTGCCAATTCCTCTCATATGCATTTGTAATGCTCATGAAATGCATTTCTATTTCATCTGTCAAACATTTCGTAGTTCATTTCCTTAATAAATCGGCCTCAATTCCATGGGACTAGGAAGTCCTTCACCCAAAACTAGCCTTAATTGTGACATTAAAGCGGGGTAAGGAAATACGCGAATGCATATCTTTAAGGGTACAATTTATTGTCCATTCCGTAGTGATTAACGAAATGCTATGATCATAATTTTCCATTTCTTAATCATCATCTAAATACCATTTATGCCAAAAAAACCAATCAAACTGGTTATGGTTTTACTTTTTTATATGTATCAAACGAATCTACAGTTTTATACGAAGCATGTGGATGGCTACAGGATTACAAATGGCTCACAAAATGAGCAAGACCACTTTATGACATGTGTGCCATGAAAATTCTATAATGCATGTTATCTAGATGAACAAGGAGGTGCCCCTTGGGATGGACGCAAGTGTTATTAATTTTATTTTTTTTTAAAGAAAAATGCCTAGTTGGTAGTTTTGTCATAACAGTCTATTCTTTCAGAGGTTGAAAAGACTTAGGACATTTCATGTCTCTTGATCACCATTGTGCCATTCATGAATATTGATCAACCATGCCATTTACTCAAAGATCTAAGCACGAAATAGATCGCATTTTCTGATCATATTAACTAGTCACGTATAACACTACGGATGAATAACGATCCCACGAAATGGGTAGAAAACGATCCTACAAGCGTTTCGGGAAAACTGTTCGCAAACCGAAGTCGAAATGGTAAGTTCCGTTTTGTGTATGGAGAAAAACAACAAGTTTACAAAAAAATCCAAAAAAGTTTCAGAACCCACGCGACACACTAACCCCTTCAACCTTGGCTGACCTGTGTTCTTTCGATTCGATTTTCGGCCAGTTCAGAAAGAACTAGACCGTGCCATCACCAGCATCTTGAAGCTCACACTTCCCTCTACAAAACTAGCCTAAGAAACATCTCGATTGATTACCACACATGATGGTGCGAGGCCGAGTTACGAGAAGTCCAGCTGCTTGTTTTTCATTTTTCGGTGAATTCACAGACCGGCGACCGATACCAGCACCTCGGCTTTGTAGCCATTCATCGCAGGAGTAAAACTCAACTAGTTTCACTGTCATAGGATCACCAGCGACAGCGTGGCGAGCTTCAGAAGTTTTGGAAACCTGCTACCTTTACCAGAGGAATTGACCGTCTTCCGTTCACTTTTAGACTTCGTGCCAGGTATAAAAGTTGTTACATTCCTATCAATTTTGGTCAAATTTGGAGTTAGTTTGTCTTCCTAAGATAATTGACGCCTTAAATCCATTTTTGATACCCATTTGCTGAGATTTCATTGTTTGAGCCTAGTCATGTAAATGATCGCTACTTGACCTTTATGACAGGTGGAGATCCGACCGTTGGATCATCGTGAAATTATAGTATGAGTAAATGAGTCACATGGTTTGGACTTCATATTAGTATGAGTAAATGAGTCAGGAATCATATTAGAAATATTTTCGTAGAACTGAATTGATGTGCATGTTTGATTATATATTTATTCGTCGTGTGGAATCCATAGTGTATGTGCCAACAATGGGCATTTATGTTGAGCTAACATATGATGTGGGACGTATGCTGCATGATGTGTGATAATACGACTGCACTGTTACTACCTACTTGGTTACATTGTGTTCATGGCTAGGTGGTCTTGCTTGGTTAATCTGCATTGGGGGATCATACACGTTTTAGGGTGACACTGCTTGGTTAACCCGCATTTGTGTTTGGTGGGTGAGGGGGGGGTTGAACCATACACGTTTTGAGGTGACACTGCTTGGTTAATCCGCATTTGTAGGGGGCTCACTACCTATTTGGTTCCAATGTACTCCTGGGTGGCCCATTGAGTTGGTCTGAAATCTTGCTTCCTATGTGGGTCCGTTAGTTGTTTCGAAACCATATATCTAATGGATTTCGTTGAGTTGGTATGAAATCCTTCTTCCTTAATTGTTCCATTGAGATGGTCTGGAAGCTTATATTCTTGGGATTCCGTAGAGTTGGTCTGGAATCCTAATTCGTATATGGTCCCGTTAAATTGGTTAGAAACCCTAGATTCTTGTGAATAGGAGTAGCTCAAGATGTATTCTCGTGTTTGTAACTTGGAGTTATAATATTATTGCTTCAAAATTGAAGTAGGGAAATATGACAGTCTTACAGAGGTTGATTTTATTATATTTCGTGAAGCAATATTTGATATTATAGGTTGATCAACGTGGTAGATGTTAGTATTGTGCATCTTTGGTTCATTGAAACATTATTTGTTGGTGATTGAGGACTTGTGATTGGAAAACATTCTGATATATGTGATAGATGAAATGATAATCCTGATTATTACATGGTCATAAGTAGTCTGGTGATCATACTCGTACAGTTCCATTGAGTGATGTCTTGGAAACGAGGAGTGATAGTTAAACAGGTACGTGCTAACGTCATGTGTCAATAGTGAACGTATTTTGGGATTGAGGCGTAACATATAGAGAGAAGAAAGAAACACACATTGACAGTCGAATCGAAAAAATTGGTTAAGAATTGACGGAACTCTACGTTGATGGTTGGAATGACTGACAGAGTGACAGTGGTGGATGTGTTCGAGATCGCAGAGAGGGGTGAGAGAGGTCTGGGAGATCGCGAAGTGGAGAGAGAGGAGAGAGATACTCTTCTATTATTTTCAGGTTTTTCGGTTTCAAATTTTTTTTTTTTTAATCGGGTTGGGAAAATTTTTGAGTCGGATTCAGGTTTTCGAGTTTTCAGCCTTAGCTTTCAATAAGCTTGTGAGTGCAAATACTTGTAAAGATGCGTTATTGCAAAAGTATACTTTTGCTTTTATAACTAGTCGCTTGAAGAGAACTGCTCTCAGAAGCCAAGTTGGGAAAAGGGGAAGTTGAACCCACTTTGTACCACTTTTTCATCATCTCATCCTCCTTGTTCGGAAATTCTCATCTGCACGCACAGGTTGTGCGCATATGCTGTGCATGACCCAAAATTCACATAAACGACGATAATATTGCAATTGATTATCAATGCGGTGTTAACGAAGTTGATTTTTAATAGATGGTAGATATTGTTATTAAGGGGCCGATATCTAATACCACTAATCCATACAACGACGTTAATATGACGTGGATATTCAGTTGCAATGTCGAATCACTCCTTGTTTCCATTAACTCGTCATATTCTCTTCAGTTTTCCCAACTATTTGGGTCAGGAATGGAAGTAGCTATCCACCATCCACTAACTTTTTCTTTTTCAAAAAAAAAACAAAATCAACTTGTGATTTTACAATGGTATTCCATCATTTCGAGAGTTGGAAAAGCTTACAGAGTCATTTCAACCTCACATGGGAATGTAAGTGGTATCCATACATATCCTAACACTTGAATAAAGCCCAAAATTCATGTCTTAATCACCTTTTTATGAGTGTTTAGTGTGTGCGAGTGATAGAGATTTAGGGAAATTTTGTACTCTTGTGCTTGATTTATGTCAGAAAAAAAACATAAGTAAAAGTGAATGTCTTAATGGTTTTAGAATTATCTAATTTTTTTATAAAGATAATCTATGAATTGTGTTTTAAATGATAAACAATTTAAATCGTTAAAATACACTACTGAATGCACCCCACAAAAACTATGCCAAAAGTTGTGTATAAAAAATGATGCCACGAATCTTTCCTGTACACGTATATATCCCACCACAAGTTCCAACAGCAAGGCACCCGCACCCACACCCACATAGATACTATTGTCCCAAAGGGAAACACCAAAAAGTTTGCTACCCAAGATAACACTATCTGGTTTTCTATTTGCTTACTTTTTAAAACCATTATTGCCAATTATGTGGGCCCCCAATCTACCCCACCACAAAAAACATCAAATCAGTAAGCAATCAAAACTGGAGTAATTCTAACCCCACTTCCAAGACAGTCACTATCTATTTTTTAGCCGCATTCATCTTTCTGAAGCTTGTCATCCACTCATCTCCACTCTCCCAGCATTTCCATATTTTATTCGTAGCTTGGTTCCCTATCTGCAATGCATTTCATACATACTTGACATGAAAGGGTTATTCCAATGTATTCGTAGCTACGAGAAGATGAATTCAAACTTGAGCGCAGAAGAGAAAAGAAGATTAGCTAACCAACTTAGCTATAGGCCGTTGTGTTTCGAAAACAAAGTAAGGTGAAGTAGTGAGTTACTGCTGATGCCCCAGCAGATTATTCCAGAAGTGGCTTTTCCAATTGTCAATTCATTCTCCATAACCTACAGAATCCTACTGAGAATAAGAAGAGTTTGATACTTGGTGGATAAGAAGCAAAGGTGGCAGGCACTTGAGATAAAAATTTAGAATAATGTTTTTGACCGGGTGATGAGAAGAGTTGTTGAAGGATACTGTCAACTGTAACTCTTCAGTTACAAGTCCAAAAGGAAATATAAAGGTGGTGCCATTTGGATTTGAGGAAGAGAGAGAAGGGGGAGGATGAAAGTGGGGAATCCTAAGCTTTACAAGTGCAAGGGCAACAGTGAAGATGACATCAGCATTGTCCCCTGAAGCACCAAGCATCACAAGGTGGGGCCCACTTCATCGAGACGGGATAAAATGAAACACATGCTCTCTCCACTTTACATTCTTCTGCTTTTCTCCATTTCTTTCATCTCTCTTCCTCTTTGATCTAACTTTTCGATCAGCCTGTTACACCATACTGCACAACCTTTAAAACTCATCAAAGAAATGATATCCCAGAGAGAAGCAGAGAGTGAAATCATACTAAATAAAGAGCAAAACAGATGTCTGATCAGCAACGATGACAAAGAAGAGACTGAAGATCTTAATCGAGGAGAGTGGCTGAACCTGAGCCTAGGTAGCATTTCGGCGGAAGGACAGATGGACTCACAGGCAAGACCAGCTTCCGGCAAGGTTTTCTCCTGTAACTTCTGCATGAGGAAGTTCTTCAGCTCGCAGGCATTAGGGGGTCACCAGAACGCCCACAAGAGAGAAAGAGGTGCAGCAAGAAGATATCAGTCCCAAAGACTGATGTCGATGATGGGTTTTCCCTTCACTACTTCTACGGCCAGATCACTCAGCGTTCAACCCCACTCACTCGTGCACAAGCCAAGCAGAGAAGAAAATTCACCTGTAGCAAGATTTAGTGATGCCAACGCAAGGTTTAGCTCGATGCCTTTCACACTGGATGATGTAATGGATTCTATGTGGCCAGGCAGCTTCCGCTTGGATCCACAAGTATTAAAGCCACAATCAGAGCCATCCAAGCTTGACTTGAACCTTCGACTCTGATCCACCCGTCCCGCTACCCTAGTTTGGAACTTTCTTTTATGAAATCTATCTTCGAAGAGGTGTTAACTATTTCATCTATCAAGTACATAACTAGCGTAGGTTAGAGGCCTCCTCTGTTTATCTACCCAATGAACCTACGAAAGATAGATACTGAGAAGTTCCTACTGTTTTAAGGATGTTATAATATCAAAGTTATTTCCTATTCAGTGATGCATGCAATAATCTCAGGGGCATTATGTTTCATTGCAATTGAGTTGTTTTGAGGTTTGCTTGTTCTTCTCCTGAACATTATCAACTTCTAGTATCTTTTTTCTATGTTTTTTCTTATTTGAAAGTAAGATACTAGCCTAAGTGCTACCGCAACCCAACCAGCTTTTACCACTCAAAAGTTAAATCCCTGAGGGTTTCAGAAAGGTCAAAGCATAATAATATTACCAACTCTACACAATCAGAGAATTTGAAAGTACACACTTGTGACAAATTTTGTATGCATGTTAAGTTTCAGTAGGTTGTAGCCAAGGTCAAGACTGCACATCTAGACTGCAACCCAATTATCCAAAACATAAAAGAGTCCTGCACTTGTACAACTTTATTCCCTCGGCCTCCAAAATGAATCGGATAAATATGAGCATGAAGAAATTCTTCCGCTCTTAACATGCGCGCTACTTCTCCCAATCCCACCCTCAGTGCCTCTATGTGGTGCCTGACTTTTGTTTTCCAACCAATTAGATGTCCAATGAAAAATTTCCATGATACCATGCCAGAAACAGAAAGAATGAGATCCCAAGCAGTACCTTTCCAATGAAGTCTTTCCTACCAGGTACCGACAAGGGTGCTTTCGAAGACATAAAAAATCCCAATTTCCCTTTTCCTAGAAGGACTTCTATGTGTCAAATACAATAATATTTAATTGTGATGCCTACTTGTTACATGCATTCCCTTCGTTCATCAGGTTTCCTATACCATTTCCTACAATTGTGATGAACACCCATGTTCATTCCTAGCCTTCCATTGTCTTTCTTAAAATATAATCTGATGCTAAAATTATTCTTATGATAATAGAAAAGAGATAATAATTTAGATATTCCTTACATTGCCATTAAGGGCTGCGGTCAATTTAGTTCCACTTGTGCTTAAGCTTATCTCGAACTCCTCACGGAGTATGAATTAATGATCTAGACTAGTCTGCATTGGTCTTTCTAAATGAGCTGCTTTTTTTGGGTTAAGCTAAGATCTAAATGGACTCATATCAAAGTTTCAATTTTGCAAATACATTTTTAATTCATGTTTTATCGCTCTTGCTTTCTGATATCAACAGCGTTATAACAGAAGCATTGTATAAAGATAGTCGGAGGAATTTTGCATAAAGTAGAAATTTCTCTCTGCTTTTCCAACTTAATAAGAGAACATATTAACATGACAAAGAGTAAGGAAATACGTGAATGTTAAAACAAAAGTTTACATTCAAAAGAACCCAGCAAAAAAGGTAAAAAGAACTCTTGCAGGGAGACAATTTACAGCCTTACATATTACCAGGTACCTTTAGCTTTTGGGTCATACGCATGATCACAGGAGGCCTTTGGCTGATGATGCTTGGATCATTGTAAGCAGCATCTTCAGAAGGGTAACCAGTATCTCTATCCCTCAAGCAAGTTATCGAAAAGATTCAAAATGTCCATAAATCTCCTTCCCAAAACCGATAATTCAGATTCATGACCAACAGGATTCAACTGGAGTTTAAATCACAACATAAATTAGAGAGAGCTAGTCGAGACATATTTCTATCCTTCAATTGAACTTTTCACTCCCATTTGCGGCTAAAATTTTACTTTCATCCCTCACACGTACACATTTTAGTAACATGCTAAGGGATTGAGTGCCATAAAACCTCCAATCAAAGAACAAAAATCGAAAGCCGATACGAATACATAAAATTAGCCGATGGTGAACAATGAGCTTACGTTCGGAATTTCCATTGAGCAGCAGCTGGGACTTCAACCGGCGGCAAAGCTTCCTTCTTCCACCCCACCAGAGCATCAAACGAATTGAAGTGAATCGTGGCGCCGCTCTTCACATGCTTCAGGAACAATCCACTGTCCCCAAACACCATCTCCGGCATGTGATAAGTATGAAGCTTTTGCTCCCACCTGCAACAACCCACATCACCAAAAATCCCTAACACCACACAGACCTTGCAAAAATTCAAAATTGAAGGGCTTCTATTGAACTCCCAATTCGAATTCAAGAGCGTACCGGTTCGGTATTGGAGGAGCTGAGAATTAAGCGCTTGCGGGATTCGATGTCCCAGCCATGGATACAGAGGCCGTATCGCCCGTCGCTCAACGGCTCGGCTCCGGCGGCTTTCAGCTCCTTATCGTCGACCTCCACTTCCATTTTTCAGCTCAGGGATTTGAGTTGTTCCCGGTTTCCTGCTTTTCTTTTTCTCGCTCGCTTTGCTTGTTCTCCCTCGTGTCTTTGTGATGCTTACTGTCGAGTGTCGACGACGACTTGGGGTGGGTCTAAAATGTTTGAGATTAAATAAGATGTTGTGACATATACTTTAATACATAAAAATGGGGGACGGGCCTCTTGGGCATGGATCAGTCTACTCATTGGTCGGGAGGTACTTCAGAGTGGCTCTCATTGGCAAATCATGGGCGGCACAGATGTGCTTGTGTGGGTGGATCGTTGGCTTCCATCTTTACCTGCGGAGCGTCCGGTGCCGATTGGTGAGGTTGTGGTTACGCCTAATTTGTGGGTCAGTTCTCTTATTCGGGCCAAGTCCCATGAGTGGGCCATTGAATTTTTGCAACCTTTTATCTCCGAGGTGGCTCAGGCAGCTATTCGGGCCACCCCACTGGGTGATGCGGGCAGTAAGGATTGGTTAGTCTGGGAAGCTAGCAAGACTAGTAAGTACTTGGTTAAGGTCTAGTTTGATACTGAGGTGGTTCTGAAAAAAACTAATATAAAAAAAAGCCGGGAGCTGTTTTTGTGTTTGGTAAACGTTTAGCTTCAGTTTTTTTTCACAGTTTTGGGTAAAAAAAAGCCAAAAACAAGAAGCTGCAAAACCTAGCTTTGAAAAACCGGTTTTTTCACATCTATTTTACATAAAAGTTTAATAAACACTATAATACTGATTTTTTTTTTTTTCAAAAGCACTTTTACAAAAAAGTTTACCAAACACTCTGCTACTTTATTTCACAGCTGCTTATTCTCAAAGTACAGCAGAAGCATTTTTTTTCAAAGCACAGCAATACCAAACCAGCCTTAAGTCGAGGTATCATTGGCTTCTATCAAGATCACTTGATTTGAGGGATAAGCGGCATCCAGGGGTGAGGTTAGTTCTGAAGGCTTTGTGGAGAATAGTGTGGCTGTTACATAGGCCTCCAAAGCTTCACCATTTCCTTTGGTTATCGTTACATAATGGTTTTGCAACTAGAGCTGCTCTTTTTCATAGGCGCTCCTCCCCTTCCCCAATTTGCCCAATTTGTCTTGGTCATGCTAAAACTATTGAGCATCTTTTTCTCCTTTGTCCGTGGGTGGAAGTTGTTTGGTTTGGTGGTGCTCTTAACTACCGAGTTGACCGAGCTAGTGTGCATTTGTGGGCAAGTTGGTTGCAGGCAATGATGTCTATCCCTCTTGGGTCCACGGCTGATAAGGTGTGGGTTCAGTCCTATCTTGCTTTCACCTGTTGGTTTATTTGGAAAGCTCATTATGTTTTTGTTTTCAATCAGGTTCTAGTTAATCTTGCTAGGTTGTTGTTAGAATTGACATGCGGTGGGTTCTTATTGGGATGCGATGGGGCTCTCGAGGACTGGTAGGGCGAGGGTTTTTGCTCGACAGGGTACTGTTCAAAGGTGGTTGGCTCCCCCGTCTCCATTTACGAAGATTAATGTTGATGCTAGTTGGTCTAAGGTGTCTAAATTTGTTGGAGTGGTCATGTGGATTGAGGAGGGCAGTTTATGGCTGCAGCCAGGTCTCCTATTAAGGCTCTTAATGTTGCTGCGGCAGAAGCAATGGCTCTAATCCGTGGATGTGTATTAGGTAATTTTTTGGGTCTTAGCTCGGTCATTGTTGAGTCAAATTCTCTTGAATCTATCTCTTGTCTTTCGGGTTCTCTTGATAATGGCAGTTGGGAGGCTTTCCCTATCTTAGCACGGGTCAAGCAGCTGAGTAGGGCTTTCCAGAACTGTCGCTGGTCTTGGGTGCCAAGATCAGCCAATCTGGCGGCGCATTTTCGTACGTCGGTTGGTTTTTCGTATATGTGTGATTGTGTTTGGGTCGACAGGCTTCCATCTTCGATGGTTCATGTTTTGAACAAGGATGGTCTGCCCTGTCCACATTGAGTTGTAGTGCCAATGTTAGGGGTGACGCTAAACTTGGTTAATGTGTCTCTTAGTTTGTATCCTCTTTCATCGATGTTGTTTAGTTGTGCCTATCTTGGTGTTTGCCTTTTTGTAGGCTTTCTTGTACCTTTCGGCTTCTCGGCCTTGGAATGCTATTCCTTGTTTCCAAACAAGAAAAAAAAAACATATTGTGATTATGTAAATCTTCAGTAGAGATAGATTAGGAATCTTATGGGATCTAGAAGATCTTTCCTAATAGACTTTGTATTACTTGAAGAGTAAGTTTCTCTCCTCCTTATTACTATAAATAAAGGCACAAGGACTGGGAAATTAACACAATTTCTCAAGCCTATTCTGTACTCTTTTTCTCTCTATGTCGCCCCTTTAGTTAAATATAGGCCACAACACGTTATCAGCAGGCTCTTCATGCTATGCTAAAGAGAATTTATTCGTCTTCAATCATGGGAGTATTACGTTTCAATTATTTTTAATTGATTAATTTTTTATTTTATTGAATTCATATACTTTTATTGATTCAATTTACAATTTTTTGTGTTGAACGTGATACAAGCTTTGGAGATGGAAAACCAAAATTGAAGACATAACCCGTTCACAGTATTAATCACACAATCCAGGTTCTTCTAAAACAACGATGTTTATCTCGATATTTTTTTCAGTCTCGATTACGTGAACCTTCACCATAATGCATGACCCAACTTTACGATTTACGAATTTTAGATTCTACATAAATTGTTTATGCATTATATCCAAAATATCATTATTATGTGAATTGAATGTGTGAATAAGCAAGAAAAAGAAAGAAAGAAAAAACCCTAGAACTTGAGTTGGGCCTAGAAACATGACAAATCTATTTTTGTTTGGAGTTGTGCTGAGCCAGCGCTGAGCCATCATACCCAGTGCTTGAGTACCTAACTTGCGTTGGAGCTGCGCTGAACCATTGCACCAAGCCGTTGACTGTTCCAAACCCTAATATGCAAAACCAACGTACTCCCTGAGATTGGGCCGCCGTCTAGGTGGCCTGCAACCTACCTCACCACCATTTTTCACCAAAACACGGTGTAATCGATTTTCTTTGATGACCTGCAGTTGTCCCGTGGATCATTTTGACGATTAGCAGTCGTCCCTCAAGTCCACATCGTCGTTCTCGATGAGAGCCATTCGAGTTTTCCTTCGAAATCTACACGGAGTTTGAGATTTCTCACTCCTCAGATGTTTGGAACCCTTCCCCATCAAAACCCCGTTCGATTTTGCTCATAACTCGCTGCCGCCTATAGCGCCATGCCTGGTTTAATTGACGGCAAAACACCCAGGTTTTGCTGGGGTTTACGTAACCCGACCCGAGGACTTGGGCCTCCTTTCAGTCCTCAACCCACTATCTTGGGCTTAAACAAACTATCCTTCAGTTTTTGGGCCTTTGTTTTGGCCCTTTTTTTAACTGAATGGCTTCAGTCTCCTTTTTGGGCTTATAATTTCTTTGGGTTTTTCTAGTATTTTGTTTAGCCTAGTTTTCCTTCATGGACCTGTAGTTTACAAAGCGATTTTTTTTCTTTTCTTTTCTTTTCTTTCAAGCATATTTACTTTAGCCCATGAAAAACTGCTCCATTTAATGGGAGTTGTTTTTCACTTTTTCTATCTTAGCCCATATTTCGGCCTAGGTTCTGTTAACCCAATTCTTCTCGCTGGCTCGCAACCCAGTTGATTAAAATAATATTTTTGGACTTGAAGCTCTATCCTTTTGGGGCCATTTCCTTAAACTTGCACACAAAGGGTACCAAAGCTACCCACTATTAATATATTTGTTTTCTTTTGCTTTATATATTATATCTTTTATGTATTGCATTTGTTTGCAGGTACTATGAACTTGAAGTTCATAATTCCGAACTCGAATTTTGGAAAAGTGCCATAGAAATCTGAAGTTTCTTAATGCGCAACACTCATGTTGAGACCCGAAGTTCTCCATGCTTAAATCCGTTTAAACCAAACCATGTCTTAGAACTTGAATATTCTAACTTTAATGTTTATGGAAATTCTATTTCCTAAAGCACCAATCACATTCTTGTTTCCGCCATTCAACATATTATCGAACAGTAACAAGTTCGATTTCACTGATTTGGAAGTTTCAAACAAGAAACTACTTTATGTGGATATAAGACGTGACTCCCCGCTTGACTACGACTAGTTGAGAAATCATTATATCTAGTTATGGTGTGGAAGAGCTGAATAAGCCTTCACCATTATCTTCATTCGAAGACTTATGCTTGAAGCATATCAATTGGAAGTACCTCATTGCCGAGGACTCCATGGCTCTTTGACTCGCTATGGACCATTTCAAATCATGCAAAGATGAATTCTTGCCCGAAGCAAATCATGATTGAAACCTTTTAACGTTCATACATAGGTACAATTCTAAAGTTTATATCCGATCAAATTTTAACAGGAAGAAAATCTTTCTCGTCATTCTATATCCAAATTGCTCTTGAAGTAGTAGTATAGAAAGCAGAAGTTTACCAAATTCTCAGATCTGATAACTATTACACTTGTGAGAGAATGTTACCTCAGCAATTTAGCTGGGAGCTACTGAACGGTATAGACCTAGTTTCGGTTGGAGTCTACCGAAAGGCGATGCCTTGCTTTGGCAGGGATACACCAACATGCATGCTCTACTTCGACAGAGGTGCACCGAAGGGTATGCTCTACTTTGGCAGAGATGCACCGAACATTATTGCTCTGATTCAACAAAGCCTACTGAACAGACCCCTCTAGTTTTGGTTGGAGCCTATCGAACCCAAGTCTAGGTCTATCTTTCTTTCATACAATCTAATTTCGAGTTTATTTTACAACATATGGTAGAATCAGGCCTGCCAAGAGGTGGTATCACACCTGAAACATGATCATTGGCACCTCAAACTTCAAGAATAAGGGATAGTATTCTCGATTTTTGACATAATAGATCATTGGTTATGTACTTTTCTATGCCTTTACCAATGTTATTGAGGAGTACCATTCTTATTGTCAATATGTGAGACTAACTTTGCTTCACCTAACACATTTGGAAGAGCGAAATTAGACGTGGAAGACCGTATTGGCCGAACCTTGTATATTTGGTTTACTTTGTGAATTATTTATTTTGTTGGATTAAAGATTGGTGTTTGGATGTCACGATTATTCTCAAATAAGAGCTAATTAACAAAAATTACGATATTGGCTTAAGTAAATATTGGCTAGTAGGGCTAGGGCTGGTTTGGTATGGGATACCGATCCGAAAATGGCATAGCAAATCCGAATCGAAATTTTTCGAGACAAGAATCCAATGACCGATTCTGAACCGAAACTTCAAGATTCTCAAAATATTTTCTGTATTTCGGGATTTTCCGAAACCGAACCTGCATCAAAATCCAAATCATCTAGATTGAAATTGAAATCATATGAACCTACATTAAAAACCTAAATTGAAATCAGAGAGAGTGACAATGAATCGATGGTCGAGAAAGAGAGATAAAGTGAAGAGATAGTCAGACGGACCCGCGTCCTCCTCCTGACCTGAGCCCCTAATTCGAAACCCCACTCATAGAGACTGGAGAGAATTGGTGGTGGGGGATGAAGCCGTGAGGTGTGGTGGTGGTCGAAGTGGAGAGATTTCATCGGAGTCAGATTGTGAGAGGGTAGGTGGCTGCTGAGCTTCGAATTCGAGAAGGAGAGACGGAGAGAGTCTAAGACTGAACTTAAGGGTTGAAGGTCTGAGTCCTTCAAACGAAGCCAAACTCTTGGTGAGGATCGACGATGCTATCACTTGAGCTGCTATCATTCTTACAACGTGTTTTTCAGTGAGGGATGAGAAGTTGAGAGAGAGAGAGAGAGATCAAGGAGATCAAGAGAGAGAAAGAGGTGAGTCACTTGTGTGACGTAGTCGGATTTGAAAACGGAAAATAAGGAGGAGGAGAGAGATTGAGAGATATCGGCAAGGATAAGAGAGTAAGGTGAGGTGAGGTCGAGAGAGAGTGATTGAGTGAGGGTTTTAATTGAATCCAACGGTTGAGATTAAATCTCAACCAAATCCCACGGCTGTTACAATTCCAAATATATATTTAAAATTAGGGTAAATTACACAGAGTTACCTCAACTACTTGGTCATTAACAGTTTCATACCTCGTCTTTAAAAAGTTTCCATGTCATACCTTATCTTCGAATTTGTTGCAATATCATACCTTCCATCAGTTGTCTGTCAATTCCTCTGTTAAATGCTGATGTGGCTTGAGGTGAGACCCACTTTCTATTAAAAAAATTATTAAAAAAAAATCATTTAATATTTTTTAAATATTAAAATAATAATTAATTAAAATATTTTTTAATATTTTTTAAATTTTAAATATTAAAATAATAATTAATTATATAAAATTAAAAAAAAAAAAAAAACCTTCAGTTCATCCCCCTGCTCCTCCTCCTCCTCTCCTCCCCCTATCTTCATCTTCTTCCCCTGACCCCCCCACCCTGCAACCCAAAAAAAAAAAAAAAACCGTTCAGTTCGTCTCCTCCTCCTCCTCCTCCATCTTCATCTCCCCCTGCAACCCAAAAAATAAAAACCGGCAATTCATCTTCCCCTCACCCGTCAATTTGTCTTCCCCCGACCCCTTACCTGCAACCCCAAAAAAAAAAAAAAAACCCCTAGATCCCGTCTACGCCGCCGCCATCACCGTGTTCGTGAGGTGGAATCGGGAAACCCCATTTGCCAGGCTAATTTTGCAGGTGGAGAACCTGGGTGCAAAGAAAATGGGAGGAATGGGTGTGGATTTAAGGAGTGGGGTGTGTAGAGGAGGGAAGAGGGTGGTTGCGGGTGTGAGGGGAAGACGAACTAGGTTTTTTTTTTTTTTTTTTTTTTTTTTGCTTCTTTTTTTCTTCTTTTTTTGGGTTGCAGGTAATGAGGTTGGGGGAAGAAGATGAAGATGGGGGAGAAGAGAGGAGGGGGGACGGGGGTACACGAATTGAGGGTTTTTTTTTTTTTTTTTTTTTAATAATTAATTATTATTTTAATATTTAAAAAATATTAGATGATTTTTTTTTTGTTTTTAATAATATTTTATTAATTTTTTAATAGAAAGTGGGCCCCGCCTCAAACCATATCAGCATTTAACAGAGGAATTGACAAACAACTGACAGAAGGTAATGACATTGTAACAAATTCGAAGATAAAGTATGACATTGAAACTTTTTAAAAATGAGGTATGAAACTGTTAAGGATCAATAGTTGAGGTAGTTCTGTGTAATTTATCCTTAAAATTATATATTATATATATTTTTTTTATTTCGGTTTGGTTTGGGATTACTGAACGAATAAAAATGTGAGACCGATTCTCGTACCAAAATTTCAAGATCAATTCGGGATTAGGTATCGAAATTTTTTTTTTTTTTTGTTCGATTTCGGGATTTTTTCAATTCGGTTTGGAATTTTCGATATTTTTTACCACCCCTTATGGCTAGTAAGGTTTCCTGAGGAATCACAAGCAGGTATTTGCGAAGAAAGAAAAGGCTCCTATGAAATTGGATCGTAGGGTTTCCTCCGTCATTGGGTAGTATGGTTTCAAAAATACACCGCGTACAATAAAAAACCAAAATACTTTGCGTACATTAGTAAACCAAGTAGGTATTTGGGGAATCGCAAGCAGGGTTGTCAGATCCACAAGTACATTAGAAGGGCGTAAATAACATAGGGTAATAGCTTAAATAACTCAAGTATTTTCGAAAGAAAAATTAGGCATAAATAATTACTGATGTTAAAATCATTAAAAGAATGAAAAATATGAAGTCTTAATCTCATGTGAAGTTTTCAAAACATCGATTTCGTGTTCCTTTCTTCTAAAATAATTTCTCAATTAACGTATTTGTAGTTTGACTAGTTAAGGTTTGTGCTTCAACAAAAATGCAATCCCTTATTCCACGTCCATGTAAATTTACAGATATTTGGGTCCAGAGAACAAACATTGTGTTTTTCTGAAGAAAAAATAAAAAAATTATATTCAGCATAATCTCCAGAGTTGCTCCAAACCTGAGGTAATATGTTCCTTCAGCTTGCTCCTAGGAAATGTGTTTGTGTGGAAAACTTGAACGGTTCATGGGTAGATGGCCTCAAAGTAAGCTCCAGGAATTTCCGAGGGCGAAGACAGTTTGGCCACGCTTTTATTCTGTCGAAAAACAGTGGACTCATCATGATCAGATAAAACATTTCTGGAAAGCAGAAAGCACAAGTCCTATAAATTTCGAGCTTATACGGTTCCAGCTACCCACAGAAACCAAAGCTTTTTTGAAAAGTTAAATCCATAAATCACCAAATTCGCAAGATACCGAAACCATGAGAAGGTAAAACTACATTACCTGTGGCCTGGCGTATTTTTCTCTTATTGCTCGCAAAGAGCTTGGTTTTCTGTTCAACTGCAAGTCATGAATGGCAAGGACACACATTCTCAAGTCGGATGGTCTATAACCGGTATAGGACTGCAACGCCAAGCTCTGCAGAATATACAAGTAAATTCGTGGTCTAAAATCATTTCAATATTTCTAAAAATCAGCCATCAATCTTCCTCGAGTGACAAGATTCTAATTTCCAACTTTACAGTGATAACTAGTTTCCCAAGTGCTATGCCTGTGTTCTGCATGTAATTCTCTTCCCTCACTCACTGTACTTATGAATTTTGTACAATTTACTCCTAATTTTTATAACTTTCAAGGTTATCACTACCTTCTTAAACTGTATCAAATACTCTCTTAACTGATAAAACTAGCTCTACTGACTACTGGCTTTGGAATGTCAAATCTCAGGTTAATTACTGTACGTTATCCGCTGCATTAGTTCTTACCCAAGGATGCACATCAGGTTGGATCGTGAACCTCGAAAGGAAAATAGCTGATGCAGCAACAACTGATGGTAGGAACTGGACACAGCTGTAGTCTAACAAACTTAGCTCCGAAAGATAGCAACTCAAGTATTCGAACACACCAGCAGACTGTAAAGGCAGAAAAATAACAGAATCAGAGACAAAGAAAGAAGAGAGTATAAATCAGCATCAGAACAGTAGAAAATGGTAGCCCTACGTTGTAATTGTCCTGGGCAGCTTTGGTGAAGAGTCTGGAAATCCATTGCATTAGTAACAGTTGTCAGACATCAATCGCATCGGTCCAATGAAAAGAGAAGCAGAAACAACGAAGACAAACAAGATGACCAAAATACTATTTCAAAAGATTATCTTGCCTGAGGAAATTCTTTGTTGTAGGAGGTCCGGTGTCAGAGTTCAAAAATTTGACCACATCCCTCTCCATTTCCAACACCTAAATGGTAATTCCAAATTCAACATTTAGTTTAAAAAGCTGAGAAATAGAAATACACTAACGCAGACACTCAAATTGGTCACCTCTTCCACGATGTAGGTATTATCGGTTACATAGCAGAAGTCCTCAACATGTGGAGGACAAATCTCTTCATATTTTCTGCATCACAAAACCATATTCAAGTTACCATTTCAAGAATGTCCGGACAACTTTTAAAGTTGGAACAAAGCTAGCATAAGGTATGCAAGTTCGTACGAGGCAACAATCATGCAAGAAACACCAAGAAGCTGTAGCTTGCTCCTGCTGACAGCATATGAAGAAAGGTATCTGTCAAGATACGATACAGTGAGATAAAGGGTGTCTGTAACAAGCTTGTATTCCTCTGCAACCTCCACCAACCAATCCACCAGAATTCCTCGCATTTTTGGTGAAATATCATTTTGCACCCTACCCATGTAACTAGGTGACGGCCTCTTGTTTGCCTCCATCTGAACCACACACTACCGGTGTCAGCCATTAACTTAGATACCATTTCCGATCTATCTACAGAATACATGTGTGTTTGCTAATGCAAAAATGAAGGTAGAGACAAAATAAGTGGAATTATGGGGGTTTCATTGTTAAATTGGAGAAGTAAAAATTCACACTACCTTAACTGTGTCTTATTTGGTATGTGGTTCAATATCCTAGTGTATAGGGTGTTGCGTTTCTACCCATGCGACCTGGGTTCAAAACTCCCGTTCACTAAATTATTGTAATAATTTCGAACTCTTCCCCTCGACCTAGTAATAGTAAAATTTAAAAAAGAACTGTCTTATTTGAGCTAAGCTTCTGTTAATAGCACATACCCCATTAATATTCGATTAAATCCCGATAAAATCATGATACGATAACTAAGATAGTTATCATTAATCCTATTGATTTTCCTTGCATACAACGGCTTGATGGTGCAAAAACGGGTACTACAGCTTCTCAATAAATTAAATGGACCATAGAACTATTATTAATCATAAACGTAAACCAAACAAAACTACCACTTGGTTTTATGAATCTGAATCGAAGTCCAAAAGGTGACTTCCCAATCAAATGTCAACAACAAATCAAAATTCTTAACATTATGATGGAAACCAAACAATGTGAAGAACTTACCAAAAGGAAAATTTACAGATCAGAAGTCGAATTTACGAAACAAAAAGAAAAGCTTAAACCCACATAAAAAGAAATTTAAACCTGACCATATCTTCAAGAAATAAACCAATCTAATCATGGGGATTAGATTCCATAACTCACTCCAGATTCAAATAACAACAACAACAAAAACCCGACTCTCTGAACATTATGCAAATCAAAACCCACAAACCCAATCATCAAATTCAACTCTTTACCGGAAGATCAATACCAACAAGCATAAATCAGAAACCCAAAAGTTTCAAATGATATACCTCCAAGGAGTGAAGATGCTGATATATAGAAGACGAGCACTCAGACTTGCTTTGGTCGACAGAGCTCGAAACAATCTCCGTCTCATGGACCTCCTCCTCTTCTTTCTTCATCATGTTACTCTTCCTCTTAACCCAGTTCCTCTTGGGTTTCTTCCGATCCGAGTCCTGAATCGGCAAGTTGGTGAGTTCGCCCAGGACGACTCGCCTCTTGGGAGCAGGAATCTGCAGGGACGGAGACGTGGAGGAGGATCGCTTAATAGACGAGCGGTTGCTGTTGGTGGTGGCGCTGTCGTCCATGATTGAAATTTGAGAATTACAGAGAGGGTCTGGTTTTTCTTCCCCTTTTTTGCCAGCCAGCAGGATTATCAAGCTTTTGGGGAAGACAAAGGAATAGAATGGCGGTACTTTTCCATTTCGAAATCGTTGTTTCCCGCTCTTGAGTTTTGACAGTCTGGATTTCTTTTCTTATGTTTGACTCCTATAAAAGTGTCAGGCTCGACTTACATATATAACGAGAATTATATGTATTTGTTATAGTTTGATACTCGTACCGAGGTGTAATCAAATTACGATTTTAGAGGATTTAAAAAAATTTTAGAATCAGCTTGTAGTTAGTTAGGATTTTAAAAGATTTTAAACGACCTTGAGCTTTTTACGAAGTGTTTTTGTTGTAGGTAATTTATTTGAATTTCTACTTTTTGTGTCAAAATTTTATATCATTTATGTGACAACCCGTTCCAAATTTTACGTTTTTATTTTATTTTAAAAGCGTGAATTTACAAAATTACCCTAGAGGCAAGGACTTTGACTTCCGTTGACCATCGACTCGAGAGATGAGCTCGATTCAGGGTCCAAGTGGACTTTCTGGGTCGGGGTGTGTCAATTTACGTTGTAGAAATCAACTATAAATCCATAGAAATTCATACAAATTCATAAAAAAAAAAAATCTATAATAAAAATCCATATAAACCTACCAAAATCTATATAGATTTGAAGAGTTTATTAAAATCCTTTGAAATATGTCACTTAAAAAGATCCATTAAAATCCTCTGAAATCCAAATTTACCACGTTCGTCAAGCTTGATTGTATTTACGACACAAGTTTGCGTGGAGCTTTTGTTAAACATGTGTCTTAGTATTGACATTTTTTAATGGCGTGTCTACTTAATTGGAATTAAAAAAATTATGTAGAGATGACAGAATAAAGGATTTGGTTCTGGTCACCAAAATCTTTAAGACTGAAACCCTAAACCACAAGTAAGGATGGGCACTCAGAACTGAAAACCAAAACTGAAACACGAACCAAATCAAACCGTACCGAAAGGTTTGGTTTTACGATTTTGAAATGGTTTCGGTTTTGAAACCAAACCGCAACATAGAAAACGGTTTGGTTTGGGTTTTGGCCTTTGAAAACCGCACCGAAACCGAACCGCACTGCTTATATTAATAAATATTTAATTAAATGTTCATATTAGATTTCATGTTTTAATTAGTTGTTTGTTAGAATCTATACACTTAGTATGGACTCAACCACACTAGAATATTATCATTTATCACTTTCTTTCGTTCATTAACTTGAAGGACCTTTATTATTTTATACCATCACAACACACACATATATGTACAAGGGTGAACTAATCTTGTTATCAAGAGTCGAACAATGATCTAATGACGTCCACTCATTTGAAGCATGATATCACATATTCTAGTATGAAAGTTTCACTCACATTTAATGAATTCAAATTTATTCAACTTGTTTTATGATAAACATTGTAAGGGACACCCTTTTGTTGCACAAACATGTTTTAACATCACAATTACATGCAACATGCTAATTGTTTACATAACAAATGTCTTTTTCCTATTGCTATTGGGAAATGCTTATTGATATGTTAAATTGCAAATTGTACATTTTTTTCTTAAAAACCAAACTGAAACCGTTCGAAACCGCACCGAACCAAACTGCAAAAAATTTCGGTTTCGGTTTTGGTTTCACTCAAAACCACACCAAACCAAACCGCGCCCACCCTAACCACAAGTATTAAGGCTCCAATCAAAGCATTGGGCATTGAAGACATCGCTTCCATCTCCAATCTCTACTGCCACAACCATTCAAGACACCACCGCCACCATTGAAACAATCGTCACTGCAATTCAGCCACCACCACCACCACAATTCAACAGTTTTGGGGGGTTTCCAATCCGATCGTAAGCTAACCCTCATTGCCATCTGGTCCGTTGGTTTAGATCCAACGACCAATATCTAAACGCACTACACACAGAACCTTTGCCGCATATTACACGGTTGTGTACAAACACTCAATTGTCTTTCAGGAGTCATACTGTGACAAGAGTGAATTTCTAGCACAGGACTAGACAGCATCAGAAAAATGGAAGATCGGTAAGAACAGGAGCTGTTTGATAGCAAGAACAACATTCAGTAATTAAAATTGACCAACTCGTTGTACAGAAGTATACTATAGAGCATCTGTGAGGGGTGCAATTTCTTCCGACTCACCTGAAACAGGAAACAACCCAAGCTCATCACCAAGATACACGAAACATTGGTGCACTTCTTGGATTAATCCTTCAGGATTTTGCCAGATTTTCTCGCCCCACAAGAGATCTCTCTTGCAAGGGGTAAATGGTTAAAATTATTCTCCTTGAGGAGCAAAATTTGAATCAAGCAATTGATTTCCTTTGTCTAGTCATAACTCCGGTACCTTTCCTATTAGTTTCTGGTGTCTTGTTTTCTGGATCAGGATCATCTGATTTACGCTTTCTCTTTCTATTGTTTGGAGTCATAGCCTTTCGTTTACGATCATCTGTCCTGGGTAATTCCTTGTTTTGAGCTCCACCCCGATCAGAATCTCCAATAGGTGTATCACCTTGTTCAAGTTGCTTTCCATTTGTTTGAGGCAAGGGAGTGCCATTTCCGGCAGCACTCTTATCCACACTCACTTTCCAACAGTGGCGAGCGTTTTCAAACCATTTGCTTACCTGCAATAATAGACCAGGATAAATAAATTATGATATCTGTAAGGACATTTATAAAAATAAGGGAAACTGTAATACTGATGCCAAGATAAAAGGGGGTCTGACCTGCTTAGCCATTATTCCTAGTTCTTGGGCTAGACTTTCCTTCATAGATCGGTCTGGATAGTGGTTTTCCTTGAACGATTTGGATAGTCGCTGAAATAACAGTTAACAATCATTTCAAATAACCTTTATGATTTTGGCAAAAAAAAAAAAAAGAAAACCATTATGATATTCTTTTTTATTCACTAAGAGAGAGCTTCTCACCTAGAATTTAGGTTTAAAGTTAAAAGTTCTGCTACATTTTAGTTTTTAACTCTCGACTTCGAAGTAGTAACGCAAATCTTTAGAGTTAGAACCTAAAATCTAAGCTCATAGGGATACTCTACACCTTAAGGCTTAAAGTAAGCGACACTGTCAAGAAACAAAGGATAAGATGGTATAATATATGAAAGGGGAATAAGAGAAGAACAAGTTTCAACTTCATATGCTAGAAAGAGTAGAAAAAACTCGGACCATAATACCTGAGTTGCAGCTTCCCCGAGTTTTCTATATGTTGATCGTGACGATCCACCTTTCTCACTAGTTGGAGCGGACTGAGTAGAGCCTTTTTGTGATTTGTTCGACAAATTACTTGTATCTTCAACCTTTGACTTTCGATGAGCTCTCTTAGGAGTATGTTTATTTCCGCGAGGAGTTCTTTTAGGAGTATTCTCATTCTCATCTAGATCATGTTTTATATTGTTGGTGATCATTACATTCTTAACGTTTGACGAGTCTCTATTTGGTGACATCGTAGGAGCTTGTGTAGTAACTTTCTTCCTTTTCCTCGGTCCAGCAGTATCATTCCACTCTTCATCATCACTTGAATCAGTACGAACATTTCCATATGTCTCCTATAGAAATCAGGGTAAACAGAGCAAACATAAGCAAACTAGTGACTGGGATAAACAGTTGATCTTCAAGCACGGTACAAACTTTATGAGATAAGAAAGTGTAACTAACAAGGGAATGAAACACATAGAATAAATTATAACTTATTCATACTGCATAATACATTTCAGTTACTTATTATTTAATTTTTCAAGGTAAAGGGCCATTGATTCTGAAGCACTGAGCACTACCAGTCATTATTACAAGAGTCAAAATTTTCAGACGCACGTGTAGTTTTGCAACACCTACTACACCACAACCAAATCTTGAAGTTAGAAAGGAAGAAAAGAAACCAGGTGAGGGTGGTCAAGAATTTAGTTATCATGGATTTGCATTCCTTGTGCAGAAAGAAATTAATATTTGGTTCAAATAACTATAAGTTACAAGTTGAAGCAGAACTGTTTTCTTAAAAAAGAAAGAAAGATACTATGTTTGTGGGGATAAACAAGGATCAGAGGAGACGAATTGCAGTGCTTCCAAAAAGTACAATATGAGGAATTCCCAATATTCACAGACGAGCTACAAACTAGTGTTTTTCAGGTCTCTCCAAGAAAGAATAGCCCAGTCCCAATGATCGTCAAATTCATTCAAGTCAAAGATTGTTTTTATCCTAAATCAGTTTACAACTAATAAGGCAGGTGTACAGGTAATGATGCATTTATCTACGGTACTGCTACAACAGCAGGACACTCACAAATGATAGAATGGACAGGTTTTAACGATCAAAGTTGTGAGGTCTAGAGTACCCATTATTACTACGTCTAAGGGAACTACTAAGATAGGTGACTACGTGATGCATTTATCTATAGTACCACCACAACAGCAGGACACTCAAGAATGATAGGACACAGTTTTAACAATCAAAGTTGTGAGGCCTAAGGTATCAATTATTACCACGTCTAAGGGAGAAAAGAATCATATTCTCTAATTCAAAACAACCAAGCATGCTGGGAAACTTGTGGAGTTGAAATAAATACCATACTACGATATTATAGAAGGCAACAAGTGCAGGTGGTATGATCATAGAACCATGATACACTTAGAAAAGACACTCACGTCATGCAGCTTTTTGTAGTTCAACCTTTCTATGTGCCTCTTCCCAGAAACAGGAGCTGCACCACCTTGGCCAGGACCTGACTCTAATAAAGATAATAACTCATCTTTTAAAGGTTGTTTCTTTTGCCCATGTCTAGAACTTTGTTTGCCGGAGCCTCTAAGAGGCCCACTTTTGTCCAATGACATTGACTTGGGACTTTCAACATCTTCGGCAGACATATTATTGTCGTCAAGAGAAGCTCCAAGATCCTCAGAGTCAGATGTAAAATCAGAACTTAAACTTTCCTTCTTAAGTTCGTCGGTGACTTCCGGAGCATCAGGATTATAGTCATCATCCTCTGAATCGTCAGAAGGAAGTCCAAAGTACTGCTCGTCATTATTTTTTGGAGTCTCTAGTCCATCAGATGCAGATGCATATTTAGATTCATCATCAGAACTTGATT